CAGAAAAGTTGGACGCTAAACCCCATTTCATTTCCAAAAACAGATATTTGGCATTCATAAAGGAAAACTTAGCTATATATATTCTATGCACGATGAAATGTATATTTGAATTTCAATACAAATTCACACCATTTATTACAATTATCTATAATAAGTATGATTCACTGATATTGATCTTAAAACCAGCATGTAACAATTTGTGCTGCATTTGAAACATTCAATACCAGTTTAATCCATCAAATTTGACAGGTTTCCTGGTGTATTGTAAGTTTGTCAAGCATGCATTGAATAGAAATCCACAGAATATTGTGGAGATCGCATAATAAAGTGTGTAACCTAATCCACTGCATGATGGAATCAATGTCTGTTCAAAGGTAAGGATTTGTTTTTAGATGGCAGTTGTCATGTTGGTAGGAGAGAATTAATAATCTGGATAGTCTTTAAATATTTTAAAAATCAAAAAATATTTACTGTTTCACTTAAAGCTGTTTATCGTCATTTGCATTTCTTGAACAATATCGATTTTTTCACTGCTTAAAAAACACTAAAATATTAATTGATTATTATCATTTAAAGGGACAATAACACTCTTGCTGGCTTGACAGCTCCAGAAAATAAAAAATAGCCTTATTCTAAGTACTAGATGTGTTAGTGTCCTACCTGTTGTGTAAATTATCCATTAAATCCTATTTCACTTGTCCAGAGGGTTCAAAAATATTTCTAAGTCACTTTGGAAAAGCTTTACTTCAGGCTTTTCAAATCATTTAGTTAAATTTTTCAAATTTTTTAAATTAGGTGTGTTAAGATGAAATTTGTATCATCAATTAATTGGAATATTGTAAAATAGTACAATTTGTTGACCAGAATAAATGATTGGGACATATTATTCAGTAACAACAAGAGTGGTATTGAGCCTTTAAGTAAGAAAACAAAACATAAATATCAATGTCAGATAATCTCCAGACTTGAATTCATTTGGATTAAATAAAAATATTTTACCCAGAACAGTCGACACTGACTTGTTTATATCATCTGCAGAGGATGCTGAATGTTGTAAAATTTTAAATTGATCATATATTTGCTAATACTGAACAGATTATGTGGACCAATTTTGTGTTGGTTTTCCTTATAGGGATTCAATATTCAGAAAATATTGTAGTTTGCCAGGGATTCACCATTCCTCAAATGATATACTATTGACAGATCTACAGTTTCTAAAATAAATTTATATGATTCTAATGCTTATCCATACACAAACACAAGTACCAGTATAGAAAGGAAGACTTGGCTTGAATGATAGAGATTTTAGAATAATTTTCATGAAGCGTTACACAGAAAAATGCAAGAAAATAAAATAAAACATCTAAAACTTTATCAGTGAATTTTATTTAAGTAGTACGGTAAACTGAAAATGATGCGTATGCATTTGATATGGTAAGTTGAAAAGTTTTTTAAATTGTTACCTTGATTTAAAAGACAAATATTTTTATATATAAAATAACAGACTGAGTAATTAATCACACATCTGTTTTTCTTTATCTGAGTAAATTGGTGTTGACAGAATTTCAGACTTTCTTCCACCCTTGTTTAACCTATTAGCTAAAACAGTTGGCATCTGACTGGTTTTACCTTCACAACATTAATCCTTCTCTTATATCTTGGGTTAATTACCGAAAAACACCACTAAATGTGTCTTATCTTCTCTAAATCCCTTCAATAAATGATTTTTTTTCTTCAAATTCCTCTGCTTACAGCTTTAAATTTCTAATGGTGTAAAAACAATGCAATACAATTTTGTTCTCTTTTTCACAAAAATGCATTTCATTTTTTTTTAAGATCAGGTGTTCCTTCTGATAAAAGGATCAAGTAAAAGGAAAAATTTTAACTGCACACTCAAAATAATTCTTTCAAACTTTTTTAATAATAAAGTATATGAAACAATTTTATTTTGGCAGAATCAAAAGAAGTATTTCTTATTTTCAAAGAAGTATTTTTATAAACAACATCTGTTTTTTTGTTGGTCAATGACATCTCTATGTAATTATTATTTCTCTGTTAAAAGATAAAAAGCTAATTGTAGAACAAACTTTTTTCCTGACAAATATAAGTGTTTTGTTATGAAAATGTATTCAAACCTTAGAAAAATACTGACAGAAAACTTCTTGCATTAATATCTCATACTGACAGAAAACTTCTTGCATTAATATCTCATACTGTAGAAAACTTCTTCCATTAATATCTCATTTGTCTTCAAGATGATTTAGATATATGCATATTGTATAAGTACCGGCACCAGTTGTAAATGGAAGTCTATAGTGATTAACCAAAACAGAAAAGCCAGGGCAATTGGGTTGCATAAGATGCATTTTTTATGTATATTAACAAATTTTAATCTTGGCTAGAAAAAACACAATTGTGAATAAAAGCATATTGTGAAGTAAAGCAGAAAAGCAAGGACAATTGAGTTACAAAATGCATGTGATTTTTATGGAGCGATCGATATTTATCAAGTATGAATGTTCAAGTGTTAATATTGGTCACTTCCAACATTATTTTATGCATATTTTATATAAGTTGCCTATACTTCCAAATCTTAAAGATAAAACTACACAATTATTCCATGAGATCTTCAATTTTATATAGCAACAGTCATGGTTATATTCATGAACATTTCATACCCATCCATTTGCTAGTGTATTAAGCACTTTCTTTTTTCATCTATCATGCAGGGACAAGATTATTATTCAAAAAAAAGTTTACTCTCTCTATGTCTCTCTGACAAAATTTGTTGGAAATTTAAATAGATTTTAAGTCATTGCAAGTTTATTTTTCATCACTTTGAAAGCCAGTAACATGCCATGGATTTCAATCTTCTGGGATTTTTTTACCAGTTAAGACAAGAAATTCCCATTATGTTGTACAATTTTTCAACACTGAATTAAAAAAAGGCAAACCACAAGTAAAAAAATCAGACGAGTCTTGTTACATTAAAGGTTTTTTTGCAGGTCCCTAATCTGAAAAAAATGTGGCAAGACATAATTTAAGAATGTGGAAAGTCTGTATTTTTATTCTGCGAGTGCCATATGATATGGTGCTATAATTGAAGAAGTGATCGTTATCAGTTTGGTAATGGTAAATTAGACATGAAAGCTGCCTGTTGTACCTGTGTTTTGTTTTCTTTAGTAATTTTTGCAGACCGCAATAGGTGAGCAGAAGTATTTGCTGAGTCATACTACAGAGCAGACACAAGAGATAGTAATGTTCTCTTCTTATGATTAAAGTAACATACGGATATGATATTTTATGGCAAGAAATTAAAAAGACATAAATATGGTATCTTTTATACATGTATATTGTAAATTAAAAAGGGCGTTGAACCCCATTTCATTTCATTTCATTTCATTTCATTTACATTGTAAAAGTTTTCCACAGATTCTTCTTGAATTTGAAATATGGTCTCGACTCTCGAAGTATTGATGGCATATTTTAAAACTCAGTAAGTTTGTTTATTGGGGCATACGGTAGAATTCTATTTAATTTCAGGGGGCGCCAATGGAGTGTCTACCTTCGGAGAAGGGTCTAGGGGGGCTCTCCCCTCAGAAAATTTTGGAAAAAAGGGGTGACACCAGAATATTTCAATTTTGAGGCTGAATTTGCGATATTGGTGTATTATGATATTTTGATATGAACATTATAAAAATTTGAAGGAAGCAATACGACTTTAGGGTACCTGTAATAATTTATGAGAAAAGTTCGAAATCTGTTTGAATTTTGAAGATTATAACGCCTGGTGTGTGCTTGAATCAATCTCATCCCCATCGTGAATTTGACCTGGAATATTCCATACAATCTCAGTTGGCTTTCTTATGGTAGATTTCTTTGGGCGTATGCGATCTGTTTCTTGGTTGGACGCCCATGATCTCTTTGTGAGCGGCCCACCAATCTCAACATTATGTGCTACCCTCTGGGATGAGGCACCCCACCAATCAAGCCGTTTTATTCGCCCCATTTTTCAAGTCATGGGCGCCTAACCAATCTCACTCGGCATTATGCATGATGTGCAGTCTGACAATCATATATTGTCATTATAAGGCGCCCCACCAATAATGTCATTATGGGCGCTCCTCTGGTATAAGGCACCCTGCAGAAATCATGTCGTTTTGGTTGCCCCATCGATTAAGTTGTGGAGTTAATCATGCGATTAATTATGAGGCGCCTCACCATTTAGGGGGGACACCTCATATCTTTTGACATTGGGCGCCTCGGCAATCTTGTTGTGGGTGCCCAACTAATGTCACTCTGCGCATATACTGATATTGGCAGGTTGGTCGTTAACTTCGTTTTGCGTCCAATGTGGGCAGCGATTATTTTCCGGGTGGGAGCCAGCTCCCTTGCCCCTCTGCTAGTTACGGACCTGTCAAGTTTTCATGTTTATATGCCCATGCATGCATTTTCATATTGGAACTGTCAATCAGAAGTATATGTTTAGGCATAATCCATTGTAGTTATGATCTATGACTTTCCATCCTAGGTGTAGGTTTCATCTAAATATCAAGTTTCTGGTAGACATTTTTTAATCTTTTAGTATTTTTCACCCAATTCTGACAGCTGCTGTCTTAATGAGTTGTCATGACGCTGCCATTATAGAGGTGTTTTTAAAGCGGTCTGTGATCCTGCATGTGATAATGTTAACCCTCTATGATCATATGTTATTTTCATCAAATAAACTACAGGATACAGTTAGAATGTGATATCTTTATTCCTATCTGACAGTTAACATGGGGTGTGTGGCATACCCAATGATTTATTACTATATAATGTATAAATTGACTTTAATGAAACATTATAATTAAAACATTAGTTTGTTAATGTGCTGTTTTTTTTTTTATTAACATCATTTTCAGCATCAAAATTTACCCAAATAGATTAGACATACATCAAAAAGGAAAAAGTTGATATGCAACTTTCCCTATTAATATATGATATGCCATTATGATTGACAACTCACTGTAATTGTTAGACAAGTTAAAATTTACCTCATAGCACACTGTATGGTGTATGCCGGTCTTCACTAGCCCAGTTTAGGAGCAGAAGAGTAGGACGTTAAACCCCATTTCATTTTATTTCATTGTTCCTGCCTCATCCCAAAGTGCTAACAGTATCTCTGTATCTCTGTAAGAACAACATTTTTCGAGAACTTCATTAAATTTGATATACATAATCTTCGTATTAATATTCAGTCCGTTTATATTGTTTCGCTTGGCACAGGATACTTGCCAATAAGGTAACTGATACAACTTTGTATGCGGTCACAGTGTTTTCAAATGTTTAGTTCAAAACTGCCAAGGTCTGACTGACAAACTACAAAATACATATGGCCCACATGCATAGAAAATCATTTTTATCAACACCGTTTCACTCATCTATTTTTTTTTCTCAGATAAATATTAGAATGTTTATCTCTGCTTATTTTGATAGACTGATTTCAAAATCATTTGATTTACCCAAATTCAAAACTACAGAATAAAAGATTTTAGTTTTTTTATGTAATGAAAAATAACACCACAAAAGATTTGTCACTATTTATAGTATCTCGTGGTCACAGTTTCATTGTCAGTACTACGATTGAGATTAGTAATACTTACACTCAGTACAGTTAATATTTATTCACCATATGTCCAATTATGTATCTTTGAAGTCGGACGTTTGCCAACTTCGAATTCGTAGGATATATCCAGCATCAATGGTCCATCACAGGGATACCTCTAGCTATACTCTCCACTGTCCAGTTGGGCTAACATTAAATATTATGACTGAAATGGCAAAATTTTAAGTTTTTGATATTTCTTTAACTGTATCTTGGAAACTCTTATTTTATTGCAAAATCCATCTAGTCTTCAAAGCTTGATAACTCATCTAAGAGATATTTTCCATTGAAATTCTGCAAATGTTAAATTTCTGGGGGGAAAAAGTAACAAATGATTATAGTCATGGGGATTAAGGGAATCATTTTATCCTAGCATTAGATCAGCAATCTGTGCCTCATGTCTGTATTGATAACGTAAATGTTACCCAATTCACAGTGGTCATGTTAACTAAATTACACAGTTATTATTTACAAGGAAAGATTATTTTTATTTGATGTTAATTCGGGTTAGATTTGGCTATGATCATTTTACATACGTTATATATCATGAAATAACTCACCTGATTTGAAACCAAAACATCACAGAAGTAAATCAGGGAAAAACAAAGTGCAAAGTATGTTTGGTTTGATATGTGATCCACCGATTAGCTTAACCATTATTTTAGTTGGGTTGGAATGTTTGTGATTAAAGATGCAGTATGTAAAATCTAGAAAAAGTGCTGGCCGCTGTTGCTATAATAATTTAAAAATTGATAATGGAAAATAAATCTATTGAAAATTTTGACAAGCAACAAAGTAAATTTATCCCGATTGTCAAGTACCATTGCTACCATAATAAACAGAGTCTCGATTTTCCATTATACTGCTTAACGAAGATATGGCAGACATCTCTTAATCCAACCATCCGATGGTCTACAGAGGATTGATTATGGGATTTTCCTTTGAATAAAAGCTTAAACAATAATTTATACCTGCAAATGCAGATTTAGCATCTTTAAGCCATCATCAAATATAGTGCAATTATTTTTTGATTTTTTGCATTTAATTCCTGTATATTTTGTAAAATAACTAAAATGATACAAAAATATTTGGCTTCTTTGTGTGTGTGTATATATATCGTAGAGGGATATTTTTGTAAAAAAATAACCCATTTATCTTTGTCTTATAACAAGATTTATACTTCAAGTTTCAGATTATTTCCTTATCAAAATCTGTAAATAATTGTCATGTTGAAGTCTATTTTGATTATTTAATATTAGCTCTAACTAAGATTGGCACATGCTGACTTGTTGTCTTATGGTAGTTTAGATAAATATTTAATTCAATCTTCAGATAAAGAGGGATTTCAGAGATTAGATAAAGATGGTCTCTGAAGATTTAATTGGAGTAATTTTAGCTTTTCCGCAATATGATTGCATTTACCTGCTTGTAGTGAAACATAGGAATTGAATGATAATTTGTACTTATGTTACATGAGCAGTGGGTTCAGAAGATTTCTTTTTTTTTGCTTAAAAAAACAGCATGATTTGATAATGTTTCTAAATATATATTATAAAAGTTTACTCGAAAAACCACCTACATATTACTAGAATTACCGATTTAGATGTCTGAGTGATCTAAAAGTGACGTCTGCCATGGTTAAAAAATGAAATCACCGAGTTCTTTGGCAGAAGTTGTATTTTTTGTACAAGAAGATTCTATGCAATTACTGCCAGATGATGAAATTAGAAAACTTTCAATACTAAGAAGGTTCCATTAGTTGTGGGTTATGTGAGTTGTAGATGTCAATCTCCACAGCAGATGGTCTGATTAGATTAAAACATGTTTGTTAAAAAAAAAACATATTAAAAAGACCAAATAGTTGAAAACAAAATTAAAGAAAGTCAAATAATTTTTATTTGACACCTTACCGAAGTTGACTCATAGATACATGTAATAACCAGAGAATTTTGATAATATTATCAAACTAGTGAACACCACTTCTTACACATTATTTTTATCCCTTGACTGAGTTTGATCATAAGCATTTTTCGAACCGATTGCAGACCAATAATTCCCAATTGTACCATGTGCCTGGGATACCTACTTTAGTCTTGTCATGTAAAACTGCCCTGGCCCCTTGGACATAAGTACTAAAGCACATTTTTGACTTTAAAAAAAGTACTGGTAGTCATTTTTGGTCATTTTTAATAAATCACTAAGACAGACCTTGGCTGTGAACCCAGCAGTCCAATAAAAAATGTTCCCAATTATCCCCCACCAGGTCTTAATGACGATAAAAATGTTTCCTACATTTTCCCACCAAAGTCCAGCCCAAGAAGACTTTAAGTCTGAATTCAAATGATATATTTAAGACACTCCAGTGGGGTAAACATAGATTTCCTGTGGTATATGGTGATTTTGAAACGATAACATAAATGTTACCATTTCTCATTGCTTTTGTATATAGGCATTAATATTTTCCACATGTTAATCTGTTTTATATCTATAAAGGCTTTAATTATCAAGAGATGATCATGTGGAAGTTTAACTTAACATCTCTGTGAAGTCTACAAGCCTCACAGCATGGGCGGCAACATATACATGTACATCATTCCAGTCAAGGTCCCTGACTCTCTAATAAACATGTGACATTGTTACTAGAGTAGCTACTTTTGTTTTTTTTAAGCAGAAAATGAAATCATTTTTTTAAAATTTTGTTAAGCAGATTGGCTTTACTTGTACTGCTATGAAGAATTTAGCTGGTATGGTATTTGTAATTATATACCATACAGGTACTTAAGGTAATATAGTCACGATACTGCAGAGCCTCGTTTAACATGGTGACTAGGCGGCGGTGGCTGTGTTCGCGCGGCTTGCACCTACGCTGCTCGCGGGTCGAGCTTCGCCCGACATTTGCGCACGACCAAATCCTTAGACAAGGCTCTGCGATACTGACCATCACAGGAGATGACATATTGGTCCACAATCCTAATCTAAGGATGGCTGAATATCATCTTTCAAGGAGTTGGCACTCCTATTTTGTGGTGCCTAAAGGCAGGTGCATAGTATAACCCTTTGGTTATATGCTATAGCTACTACCAACCAAAACATTTCAGCTTTCACATTTCACAATATATTCAGTGGCTTATCATCCAAGACATTTTTCCTAATTTGAAACAGCATATAATTTTTGCAAATGTAAAACTTTTTATCATGAAGACACCGTCCCAAGTAGGCCTATATTTCTTGAATAAAATAAGCTGTTTAATTAATAATAATATACATGTCTGGATATCCATGTCTTTGCAATAAATATGGTCAGGGAGAACGCTAGATTGGTGACGGTCCTGCTCATTTTAGCACATATGACGTCATATGTGGGTTAGGGTAAGGGTTAGGACCCCAAATTCTTAAACCTAACCCTCGCCCGTGCCCATCACCCTAGGTCAGTGCTTATGTGGAGACTTATCCTCTCTCCCAAATTCTTAAACCTAACCCTGGACCAAGATTAACCCTTACCCTTACCCTAACGCATAATCTACATATAACATCAAATGTGCAGGACCGTCTCCGATTTAGCATTCTCCTGTGGTCAGCTATAGTCACAATTGTCAACTCACATTTCGTCGGTGAAGTGTCAAAAGGGTGTATCTAAGAATTTCTAAAGATTAAGAAATAGAACCTTTTGCATTTTAAAATCTCCACAAATCAAGATACATTTGGACACATGATACCCAGAACAGTTCTAATTGGTGTAGAGATACACAGCTTAGACAGAAATTTGCATATTAATTGGGAGATTTTAAAAATGCAAAAAAAGTGTATTTGACTAATTTCCCAAGATACACCCCTTTTGACACTTACCGACAATTTGCGTACTAAAATCCCTTAAAAGAGTTATACAACCTTGTAAAGTAAATCCTAGGACAATTAATGCTCAATAGTGTAATTTGAAACATTCAGGCAAGATTATTAGGCCATTTCGTCATATTTTGGCATTTGATTCACAGAACTAAAACCAATGGATACCTTCACTCCTGCTTCACTGTCCAGATTAATCTTGGATTGTTCCTGTCAACTGAATTGCCATTATCAATGAATTGGGAAACATTCTTTGACACTAATATTTATTTCATTAGAATTCAAGTGACTGTAAACTTAACCTATATATAAAATTACAATGACCATACTAGACTTAATAGCCTATAATATAAAATTACAATGGGCATACTAGACTTAACCAATATATAAAATTACAATAGTCATAGACTTAACCCATATATAAAATTACAATGACCATAGACTTACCCATATATAAAGTTACAATGGTCATAGACTTAACCCATGGCTATAGACTATACAGGCCACGAAATTTCACGCGAACGATACCAATTGGTTATGTGCGGTCGCTCCAGCTCAAAAACACGCGAACAACTTCCTGGTTACGCAAATTGAAATATCGGTTACGTTAACAAATTTCACTAACAAATTTATTCACGTACAACCGGGGATTCGAAACCACCCAAAAAAAGTATGTTTTAAAAAATTACAATGGTCATAGACTTAACCCATATATAAAGACCGTATCTCTTTTATGTGGTTGAATTCAAATGGAAATAAAGGACGAGCGAAAGTAAAACACTTCGTGTTAGAAACAATTATTTATTCTTTCTCCAAGTAATTTCATTGTAATGAACCAATTTTCAAGAACTTTTCGACTATGTATATGAAAAGCAAAGAAATCTGCCATGCAATACTTTATACTGTTTACAATTAGCCAAAGTGTTGCTTATCTTTCGGGTAATTGAAAAAAAAGTATGCATGCAACCTAGACGAAATGACCATAGACTTACCCATATATAAAGTTACAATGGTCATAGACTTAACCCATATATAAAGTTACAATGGTCATAGACTTAACCCATATATAAAGTTACAATGATCATAGTCTTAACCAATATATAGAATTACAATGGCTATAGACTATACAGGCCACGAAATTTCACGCGAACGATACCAATTGGTTATGTGCGGTCGCTCCAGCTCAAAAACACGCGAACAACTTCCTGGTTACGCAAATTGAAATATCGGTTACGTTAACAAATTTCACTAACAAATTTATTCACGTACAACCGGGGATTCGAAACCACCCAAAAAAAGTATGTTTTAAAAAATTACAATGGTCATAGACTTAACCCATATATAAAGACTGTATCTCTTTTATGTGGTTGAATTCAAATGGAAACAAAGGACGAGCGAAAGTAAAACACTTCATGTTAAAAACAATTATTTATTCTTTCTCCAAGTAATTTCATTGTAATGAACCAATTTTCAAGAACTTTTCGACTATGTATATAAAAAGCAAAGAAATCTGCCATGCAATACTTTATACTGTTACAATTAGCCAAAGTGTTGCTTATCTTTCGGGTAATTGAAAAAAAAGTATGCATGCAACCTAGACGAAATGACCATAGACTTACCCATATATAAAGTTACAATGGTCATAGACTTAACCCATATATAAAGTTACAATGATCATAGTCTTAACCAATATATAGAATTACAATGGCTATAGACTATACAGGCCACGAAATTTCACGCGAACGATACCAATTGGTTATGTGCGGTCGCTCCAGCTCAAAAACGCGCGAACAACTTCCTGGTTACGCAAATTGAAATATCGGTTACGTTAACAAATTTCACTAACAAATTTATTCACGTACAACGGGGGATTCGAAACCACCCAAAAAAAGTATGTTTTAAAAAATTACAATGGTCATAGACTTAACCCATATATAAAGACTGTATCTCTTTTATGTGGTTGAATTCAAATGGAAACAAAGGACGAGCGAA